ATGAATGTGGAAATGATAATATACATTTAATAATGAAATCTTCACTTCATATTCTTATTTTAAAATAAGTCCTCTCTACGTTACCCAAATGGCGAATGAATTCCTATAGACTTCTGTTCATTTCTGTTTATGACAAATTCGTATTATTTCATATTTTTCTTTATATTAAAACAGTACATACATGTACTGAGTACTGAAATTATAGAATTATCATTTATAAATAATGGAGACATCATGATACTAGTAATTATTGTAAGTCGGATACCAAAAATAGTTCACTTGCCCATGAATAATAATGGCCTGCATGCACATTTATTATCATAAATTTAAATTTTATCTGAATAATTTTTCATTCAAAATTTATAGTTTAAAGCTTAAACTTTAGACTTTGGAAGTAATCAAGTATAAATGACCTATGGTAAAAAATAATATGTTTGACCTGGTATAAAATTGAAATAATGACGTACAAATTCTTTTTACCACTAAATCAATAAAGTTTATGTATACATATACATATGCATGTGTATCTGTTTATGCGTGACGAATCGCTTAGATGTTATCAATTTGTCGAAAACTTCTCCGATCAACTTTTCATACTACGACCAGTAGACATAAGCATGCACGTTTCGTAATTAGTATTAATTAGCGGACGTATTTCGTAATTAGTACGAGGATATTTATATAGCTTTCTTTCAGAACGTGCGATCCGCATGGTTGATGGCCTCATCGTGCCAGAGCGATAACAGATCCGATAATCGATCTCTGTAGTCACATAATCGTCGCGTGTTAATCGTAATTTCATCATTTCGCCTACTCAGGGTTGCATACGCGTTCCACCCTCCCTCGTACGTAAATGACAACTCCTCGATATTTTTGCATCCTCTAAATACATCGCGCTGTACGTATTCACATGCTGATTCAGAGATAATGGGATTCCCAATCTATTGATATAATCTTCGATAAAATAATCACGTTGAGGTCGATCTTTATTCCGCTTTCGATAGTCGTCCAGACAGGATATGAAGTCTGAGAAGAATGAATAATGTGATCCATAAAAAATGGACATTTTTTATTACCGATTGACTTGAAAATGTGCTCTTGTCTTTCAGGAAAAAATCAAATCAAACACGACGAATAATAATAATAATAATAATAATGCTTATTACACATCGTTTCCAACTGTTTCCCTTTTCCTCGTTCGACACTCAGTACCTTCAATATTCCCACGAGTATGTTCGTCTGTCTGAATCTTAACCCTTTCACTATGAAAGGCGTAAATATACTTCCTGAAAAGTCCATCGATATATACGAGAGACGTAAACATACGCCATCGCAATGAACGTCCATGTTATTTATTTTACATGATTATTTCGAAGTCGCGCCACAGTGAAAGGGTTAATTAACATTATTTTTATATAAAATAATAAATATTTCTTTAAACATCATAAATAAACGTCCATCTTTTAATACTTTGTACATTAATTACTATGACAAACTATGTTAATAAAATATTCCTATAAATGGATAGAATTAATTAGATGAGTAAATTTAAATTTAATTAGATGATTAAAATTAATTAGATTAATAAATAGAATGAATGGCCCTAGGAATAATTTGGCCATTTCTGCGTTACTACAAATAATAAGACTGATGCGTGTGTTCTCAGCTGACGATTGCGATCCGGCCTGTTTTTATTCAACGAATGCGTGCGCCCCTTTTGTAAGGGAGCTAAGTAGGATGCCACTGTTAGCTTCGGATCGCGGCACAAAAGTCTTGTTAACTCTACGCTCTTATACAGAACGCGTACGTTTCTTTCCTCGGTTCACGTGATGTAACACGCGGCTGATGACAGGCTTCTAAGCAACGGCAAAGACCTTTTCAAAATGTTATCGATGAACCAGGGGTTGGTGGGAGGGAGGGAGGTAGACAGAATAATATTTTCGGTGCTCAATTTATGGATAATTGGCCACGTGAAAATGACCACACGAAGTCTCATAGCCATAGCACACTCAGATGGTCGAATAAACAATTAATTTATATAAATAAGAATGAGAATAATATTTTATATTATAGAATAAGAATTATTATAAAATAAGAATTTGAATAAGTGCAGAAATTATGTTGATTGATTGATCAGGCTAATGGTCAGGGTTACGGCATGTAAAACAAATCGTACGATATGAAAAATTAGAATTTAAAATGCACTACAAGATCGGATGAAAAAAATGAATAAATATTGCGTTTCATGAAATTATTCCATCGAATAATCACAGAACTGCATCTGAATGATTAAATTATTGATACACAAATTGATAGAATATTTCATATAACGATTGATACAACAACTTTTATAATAAATAATACACACATACATCTATAATACATCGATATGAAATCAGGGTTGCAGATAAACGATCAAATCTTTAATTTAATTGAACACCGGCTTATAATTAACGTTTGGCTTTTGACTTTTGACTGATGAGTAATTAAGAACTGAAGTTGTTTAATTAGCTGATGGGAGGAGAAATTTGAATTTCAAGTATTGTCGATTGAGTTTTACAGAAATTTAATCAGTAGTTATTAATAGAGCGATTAAAAGATTTGTAACCATCGCTAAAATAATTCTATCAATCAATGGAATCCATGAATGAATAAGTGCAGTTCTTGATAAAAGAAAGATAGTCTTGTACTATAATACACAAAGTGTATAATCTCAAAGTCCCACTCAATGGCCGGTGTGCATAGTCGCTACTTATTTCTAAGATCGCATTAAGCATTTGCTATTCTTGTCTATACCACATTTCCAGTTTCTGTTGTGTACAGGAAACAGGAAAGCAAATATTAAGCAAAAGCAAAGGTGAGGTTCTTAAAAATAAGTAACTGAATGATAATTTGAATACCGGCTAAATGTCTATAAATATAGAACTGGCTTAAAGTCGCCTTTATGGTAAGTATCGTACATCGATGTATAATAGTATAGTTAATATAC